GAAACTGCATTTGCTTAATGTCAAAAGGAAACAAACAATTTCTTACAGAGAATTTTAAAAGGTCAGTTTGGCTTTCTGGCCTTGTGTACAAACTTATCTTGATTAATACAAGACAAACCGCTTTGCTAGAGACTGTTTCCCTTCAAATCAATTTCAAATCAGTCATACAAAACTAAAAAGGCAGCTCATTAGGAAGATTGTAGAATCTGCGCACCTCCGCCAAAGACAAATGTTGTTATTTCAGCATGCCACTGCATTCAAGTTGTTGTTTAAGGTCCCTTAATACCCAATTTACTTTCAGAAATTAAGTGAATTAATCTTTCAGGGACTGCCTGAACAGATGCCTGCCATTTGCTTTTAAGTGGGAAAAGTGCTGGTATAGAAATGACAGACAAATACAGAGACAAGCAAAGAAATAAATGAATGAAGTAGCTTATGCATTCAATTTACCTTACCAAGTGGCCTTAAACAGACTCGCTGCATTTACGTGATTTGTAAGGACAAGCAAATTGGCTTGAACTCAGGTGACCAAGCGTTACATCCTGAGGCAGCAGTCTTGTTTTCCCATAGGGTGTACAACTTAAGAACTGAACCAGACGAGTGGGTTTAATTTCAGTGTTTTCCTAGCATTGTATTGCGCAGTAATGGTCTAAGTCTTAATTGCTATTTTGCAAGTCCTTTGTTTCTATCTGTCAAATAAAAAAGCCATTTTGTTGATTATGGGTAACAACTTTTGTTCTACTCAATTGCTGATTCTAGAACAGACAGAAGTGTTGCTTTAAAATACATTGGGATGACATCATCTATACAAAGAAGCAACCCAGGCTCATTGGAAATGCGTGCCTTTACATACTTTTCTGCAACACCGTAATTATGTTTCAAAAGTGAAATGTCCAGAGAGTGGCGCTAAAACACACGTTTAATATGTGACCGTGGCACGTTTTTATTATGTTGGCACGTATTGCAGCGTTTTTATTATGCTGCTTGAGGTAGGTATTGTGGCTGATCAGAATTCAAATATGCGAGCAGTGTTGCTAAAGGTTAATGCTCTATCGTGATGGAAATATCCCCTACACCAAACCCAACCCTAAACCTGTTAACAAATACAAAAGTAATATAAAAATGTATTCGCTGATGCAACCGTGCTATTTTAACTTCCTTATATGGATTTGAGCTGTTTTGTCGAAACGTAGTTTCACGGGGTTCGTATCGGAGTTCTTCATCACCCAAGTCCAACGCCATATCACGTGAGCTACCGAGCAAACCTGCTGAATTAGAAAACTCATGCATATGAAGCTGTATATGTGAGGAAAACGTTCAAAAGTATCAGTTTTCAAATCGTGCAGGATGTTACAATTGTTTTGAAGTCATAACATAATATTCTGCAAGTAATTGTAACTGCAAGTAATCAAAACTCTGTACCTGAAAATCATACTTTGTGTGAAAAGGAATAAAAGTTGTCTGCGTTTTACTGCCTCTAGTGTTTATTTCAACTGGAAACTGCAGGGAATCGTACATATAGGTACGTCTTTTCAGTTTTGCAGAAATATATGTAGAGGCACGTATTTCCAATGAGCCTATGTTGCAAAGAAGATCTCAAGGAATAACATTTCTCAGATAGACATATTTCTTGTTTAACACGATTTTAATTGCCGTCTCGAGATGAATTTCGTATGAAATCTCAGTTTCTAAGAGGAGTCTCCACAGCGCAACATCCACAGTGACATGTTCACATTCCACTAAAACTGTGACTATGTATTTTACAAATTAGCAATTTATACCTCACAATTGCAACACTTTTTCTCATCATTTCAACTTCATAGCTCACCCTTCTGACTTTATTTCTCAAAGCTCTGATGTTATATATCGGGATTGCAACTTTAAATTATTGCGACTTTCTCACACAACTGTGACTATGTGTTTTAGAATTGACAACTGTTCTTATAAATGCATGTTTATTTGTAAAATTGCAACTTTATATCTGACATGTGCAACTTTGTTTCTCACAATTGCGACTTTATTTCTCGTTTACAACTTTGTTTCTCACAATTGTGACTTTATTTCTCATGTTTACAACTATATTTCTCACAATCGGGACTCTCACAACTGCAACTATTTTCTGAGAATTGTGATTGCAACTTTATTTCTCAAAACTGCAACTTATTTCTCACAATTGCAACTGTGTTCTCAGAATTGTGACTATTTTTCTCCTAAATGAATAACACTTCTGAAATAGGCATAATAACACGATTGTAATTGCCATCTTGAGATGAATTTCTTGTGAAACCTTGGTCTCTAAGAGGATTCATCATTGAGCAACATCCACAGTGACATGTTCACATTCCACTAAAATAACTTTGCTTCTGATCAGATCATTGAGCTGCCACTTTGACTATCTTTGGCTGCTACAGAAAGCACAAAACCTGACAGCAAGCCATGCTGATCGTGTGCATGATGTGCTTAAGGAAATTACACCAATGCCGTCCATTGTCCGGAGTAATTACAAATGATTCTGCTTATGTGCTGTGGTGAAACTAAAGTGAACAAAAAAAGCTCCATTTAACTTTCACTCTCAGCAGCAGCCCCCATATAAGCCAAATCAATCCAGTTACCTTTTCTTTTTAATCAGACCCACGAGAGCTCGTAGGGAGATGGATGTTTATATCAAATGCTCTGGTAGCCTTGGCTAACAAAGAGAGAAAGAGATTTCAAAACCTCTGCAGCTCAATTAACATTTGCAAACTTTATCTCAAACCTCAATCCATCTGTCAGAGGGAGAATCAACTATCTCAGCTACTCAGTTTCTCTCCCACATGTAGCCGCAGAGCTGGAAAGATTAATTAAAAATGTCCGTAAGTGAATGATCTTGTTGATTAATCATTGTTTTGGCATGCTTTTATTCAAGTGAGTCTTGGCTGCATTTAAATTTGGGCCATGAAGTGACTGACTATCCCAGGCTGTTAATCTTATTATTCCTGGCTACCTGTAGTCTGTCCGCCAATAAACCTTTTCGCTTACTTGCATGCTTGCAGCAAGTGTGTGCAATAAATCAATACTGGCAAAATCAGTCATTCATAATTCTCACAGTGGAAAAATGGTTGACTCTGAGCTGCTTTAGGTGTTGATGCAGAACAAACATGGATTTTATATTATGAGAACTACCATCCAATTATTTCTAAGAACCAATTTCTCCTTGACTCTATTGATTTTGCAGTGCTAACTCTCTGCAAGGCAATTAGCCAAGTAATTAAATTATGTAGTAATATTAAAGTGGTGGGCGCTTCAGGCTATATTAAAACCCCATGCCTGATTCCACAACATTGTGTGCTTGCAAAAACTTTTTTTTTCTTTCTTTTAGAAAAGTGTGTTCCTAAAATATACGAGAGCCTCTAACTGTTATATGACAATAAAAGCTAAATCTATGTATTCATCAATAAATAAGTAGAAAAATAAAGTAGAAAAGGGTACACTTTCACTGCTACGAAAACAACTCTATCCCAGCTAACAGAACACTACCATGCTACTTTGTTCATCCAATAGCCAACTGTTTAAGAGTTGAACAGACGCAGAGTTGACAGTCAAGGTAAAGCGTCAGTGTTAAGGGCAGCTCATTTCCAGCTCATGACTCATAAAACTACATTTTGAAAATAATCTGCCAATGTGTTCAAATGTGGCATGTGAAGAATCTGAACATCAGAGTCCCTTAACTTATTTGTAATGGAGAGAGCATGACGTGTTGTATGTAAAGCTGAGTGAGTAACACTGTCAGATTTAACGAGCACCACCATGAGAAACACTGAACTAAGAAGTAAAAATTACACATCTGGTTTATGATTTGTGATCATGTTAACTGACAGTATATGGCAGAACTGATAGCATCTGAATCAGCAGGTTGTCTCATTTAATTTGATATATAACATCCACAAGCTTTTCATCTACATCTAGCAATATTGTGGCTGACCAGACAGGGAAGGTTGTAACACTTTCCAACCTATGGGCTCAAGATACACAGAATGGTACATTTGACATTAATTTGGTTAACACAAAAGTAATTTTGAATAACACACTATCTTTTCTGTTTTTAAAGTTGTTTGCCTATGGTGCCTATTTTTTACAGACGTATTTTAATGGAATTAAATGATTCCAATATGTTTACCATTTTGAAGTAAAATGATAAATCCAAAGGAATTCAAAATAACACACTATCTTTTCTGTTTTTAAAGTTGTTTGCCTATGGTGCCTATTTTTTACAGACGTATTTTAATGGAATTAAATGATTCCAATATGTTTACCATTTTGAAGTAAAATAATAAATCCAAAGGAATTCAAAATAAAATAAGATGATAGGGGATGGCAATAAAATATTTTTTATTAATTTTAATACATATATATTTTTATATTTAAAAAAGTGATGCAAGTTCGACCACAATAAATCCATTCATAAAACGTAATGTTTTCTATTAGCGTTACAGTAGTGATAGTGGGGTAGGTTGTAACCGCAGCTCTTGTACTTGTAAAAGGATGACATAGTTTAGCAGTATATTTATAAACAACCTTAATATGAGAATAAAGTTTTAGTTCCAGACGTTTAAACAAAATGTGTTACAACACTTCCCGATTTCCCTGGAATTTCACCGGTCTGGTTCGACAAAACTGAAACGCTGTCGTATTTTTACATGCAGTGCCACCGAGATGCTTTAGGTTAATGTTTTTAGGTGAAATATCATCTGCACCGCCTAAATATATGAACCATCTTTCCATCAAAGGCTCGATTTATTGTTGGTCCTTGCCGACCGTGATAAACTGCAATGTAACCCAATGACCACAAGACCAACATGCAACTGCAAATAATGCAAGTTCTTCAAAAGAATCCATAACTATACACCGGTTCCATCTGTAGAGTAAATGCCACCGGACTTATAGACTAAAGCACCCCAGCGTGCCAGATGCCTCCCGGTGCCCAACACTGCAAAAGAGCCACGGAATCAACTGCAACTTACGGGATGATGGAGAAGCTGCCTGAGAGATGCTGATGTGGCTTAAAATCCACAGCAAGAGCTTCAGTCCGGTCCCGGCGGGTGGCTCCATCTTCGACTACAGTGAGATGAGCGGAGACGCAGTTACTTTTCCTTCTCGCGCGCGCTGTCCGGAAGAGCAGCTCCACAGAGCGAAGCCACTAGATGAGCGAGACCTGCACTAACCGACGCTTCTCGGCTCTGGTACTCAGTGTCGATCAAATTCAGCCTAAGAGTCCGGCTTTTCAACAGCAAAAGACTACAGTGGAGCACTTTAATGCGGTATTTCAAGCCATGTCGAAGCGCGTGGCGCCGCGCGCTTCTGTAGCTATGTGACGCTCGTCTCGCGGAGGTCGCTGTCCAGGTGCTGAAGTTACTCCACGCAGCGCGCGCTCGTCCATATAAACACAGAACCCCTCTCTCCTCTGAGTTGGTACGTTCCACGAAACAGTGGAGTAGCCCTCGCGGGACAGGGACCATTGCTTTGAGCGCCTTCTCATGGGCAGCAGAGAATAGATAATATTTGAATGAGAGTCGCTTTTATGTTTGTAACTGAAGCTGTTTCTGGAGGACTGATGATAATTGGCAAGATCTTGGCCGTGGAGTTCACTCAAATTACAAGGGCGGTCGTACGAGATGTAATTATAAGGAATTATTACTGCAGAAATATGCACAGAAATATATACTTGTTGTACAAACGGGTACGTTAGAGGGGTCTGTGGAAAATCGATTGAGAGAAAGAAAATGTTCAGGGCTGTCAAAGTTAAGACGACGTTACCTTGAGATTATGTTGGTAAAACTTTACAATGAAGTCTCATTAGTAACGTATTGACTAACAACGAGCAATACGTTATAGTAATTATTCATCTTTGTTCAAATGACTATTTATTGCAACTATTTATTGTTAGTTCATGTTAGACAAAGTCGATGAAATAATATTAACAGATTGCCTAAAACGTTTGATTTTAATAATGTAATAGTAAATGCTGAAATTGACATTAAAATATAAGTATTTTAATTGTTAGTTCATGTTAACAAATGTAAACTACTGTAAAGTGTTACTAATTTGTTTAATATTTTTAACACATACCAATCTTGTTTCATTCTGTTTTTAAGAGGGTCCAGAATCTATGATTCCCTTTCGTGGAACTTCGAACTGCGTCCTCTAGGGGTCGCTATGGGGAACGCCTCGTCGTGACCCGTGTCTCAGTAAAAATAAACAAAAAAAAAAACTGCATTTTTTTTAATGAGAAAAATATTTGTAATTCTAAGTAGTTCTTTCCTTTCTCCTCTATGGCTCTGAATCAATATTTATTGTGACAAGGGAAATAAATAAATAACAGTATTATATTAAGCAGCTAATTCTTTCAGATCTGAGCCTTAAAAATATTTTTCCCCCAAGTAAGCACTCACCTTTTTTCTCACCTTTTATTACCAGTTTTCTATAATAAGTGCTGCAATTTATAAATCCTGTTGCAGGACAATTCATTTAATTGGTTAAAAAAAGAAATACATGTGTATTGTTTTTATTAAAGAAAGTGCATGAAAGATCCTTTTAATCTAAACAGAGTTGTGATATTCATAGAAAGTATTTTACTTTGTAGACTTAAAGACTTGTGATATTCATAGTTAATAATATAAATTATTATTTTAACATGAATAAAAAGTTAATTTAGATGGTATCACAAACAATTATTTTAAGTTACAAAACACTTTTAAAAATCATGTTAATCTTTTTATACTTTCCAGGGTTTTTTTTTTTTGGGAAAAACATATGAATTGGATTCACAGCCTCCTGAGAATATTGCTCCTTCACTTGCTTTTTCTTCCTGTCTGGAACAAAAGTGCCCAGCAATCCTCACCTGCGTATGCTTGGATTTTTGTGTGATATTTACCCACCTGTTTGAAATGCAAACTCTCAGCAGAGTGTGAAAGAAACACCATCTGTGCAAAGGCAGAGAAGGACAGCAGATACTTTCACTTTCACTCCAGGTTCTCGTCTATCAAAAGCAGTGCTGCTGAAAATGCAACACGTCTCATCCTGTGATTTTTCCTCTATGGCTGAGCAGGTGTTTGGCGTAATCACTTCAGGATGGAGATAAACATTTGCTTTGCAGCACATCAACAAGCACAGTAGGTAAAAGAAAAACAAACTTAAAAGAACAATCTTCACCCAAAAATGAGAATACTGTCATGAAGAACTTTCTTTCTTGTGTGGAACACAAAATGCAATGTTTATCAGAATGTCTGAGCTGCTCTCTTCCATACAGTGAAATTGGATTGGGAACAAGGGCTTTCAAGCTATAAAAAGCATCATAGTAGTCCATATTCCAAGTTCTCTGAAATCTAGCTTTGTGTGAGGAATAGACTGAAATGTATGTAGTTATATACTAAACATCTTGGCCACCAAATAAGTCCATGATCATAATAGCGCTTCCTCCAGTGAAAAAGTTGTACTCTTACATCAAAATCCAATGGTTTTGGACTGTTTTTGCTTATAAACAGTGCTTGATCTGTGTATATTTCTTTCTTGATTCAGACAATACTACTTTTTCAATAGAAAAAGCAATATAATGGTTAGAGGACTCATACTTTATCCAAGAAGCAGCAATTTGAAGTTAAAATCGTCTTATAGATGGATTTGCTTCTTACACATTTTTTTTTTCTTCACAAGGCATTGATTGATGGACTGGAGTCATATGGATGACTTGTGAATCATTTTGATGTTTTATCAGCTGTTTGGACTCTCATTCTGACGGCACCCATTCACTGCAGAGGATCCATCAGTGAACAAGTGATGTAATGCTGACTTTTTCCAAATCTGTTCCAAAGAAGAAACAAACTCTTACATCTTGGATGACCTGACGGTGAGTAAATTCTCAGCCAATTTTCATTTTTAGGTCAATTATTTATTTTAATTTTATGAGTAAACATCCATGCACTACATTTTAGACCATCTCGTGTTGCAAAACAAGTAATTTTAGTTACATGTCAGACTATAATTAATTCTGCAATAAAAACCTAATGCACCCATCTTGAAACTATATTACTGTATATGAAAGTTATGTTTATGAAAATCAATAATACATCTGTTGGGTAAGACTAGGAAACGCACATCAAAGAGCATAACAAAACAACTTATAGTTAATACATTTTAGGTCAAGGAATACAATACAAACTATTTGAAACATCAAACTAATGCTATATTGATAGTAATATCATTAAGAACTAATTTTCAAAGACTTAAAATTTTAATTACCACCTTTAGCTCACAAATACAAGGTATATTTAATAGTCTAGATTCCTTTTGATCCTTTCTGGTGTTCCACTAGACAAAGTGCCAACATATGTCATCCTTTCATTCTAATAATCAAATTATTAGCATTATTTCTCTTGTATTCATAATGAATTACCTCATCTTTAGAGGTCAACAGTTCATTATATTCAAATGAGAGGCCTCTCATATAAATCAGTGGAACCGAGAATGAAATCAGATTTCGAGGGTAGAAACGCTAATGTCATGGAATTATGAATCCTGAAAAGATTGACTCTTTGTGACCTATGAGCTGTGCAGATGTCTCTGAAAAATGGAATTTCCTGAATTGCTGTGGTGAGCATATTCATTTAGCTGTTTGAGGGAATAATTGGTTCCTGAAATATTGCATAGAAATAATTAACCAAGGGAACCAGGGAAAAGGAGACCAAGAAAAAATGTTCGATGATAGGCATCCTAATACCTCATCTCAGAGCTCAATAGTCTCTCAATTAATGAATTGCATATTTCCTACTGCAGAACAGACTTTACATAATAAAATCAACATTGATCCAAGTTAATGGTGTACAGCTCTCGTGATCCCATGATACAGCTATTGTTTACTGCTTTTTCTCTATAATTGAAAATACAGTAACTGGCAAGATGGTAAAATAGACTTGCATGACTAGGTGTCCAACATCAGGAGCTAAACCCATGGCAAATATACTGTGGGTTATATTATATATACATAACCCCCTTTACAAATACATGTTGGTTCTCATTTTGTCCACAACGGACTGATATGTTTGTCAAAAGTACGTACAATTCAAACAACCAATTCAATTATCTCACAAATCGGAAATTGCAAGAAAAAAAGTTGTGAGATATAAACTTTTCTGAATTTTTTTCTCACAATTCCATGTTTACATCTTGTAATTCAGATTTTTTTTTCACCACCAAAAAATAAAATAAAAAAGTAATTTAACATTTTTCTCAGAATTGCAAGTTTATATCTCACATTTCTGAGTTTATATCTCGTAATTCAGAGTTTATATCTCACATTTCTGAGTTTATATCTTGTAATTCAGAGTGTACATCTTGCATTTCTGAGTTTATATCTCACATTTCTCAGTTTATATCTTGTAATTCAGAGTTTATATCTTGCAAGTTTGAGTTTTTATCTTGTAATTCTGAGTTTTTATCTCCAGTTTATATTTAGAGTTTCAAACTCTTAAATATTTAAATATTACTACAATATACTGACATGAAATGACATGATACTGACACTCACCTTTTTTAGCGCTGCATACTCATTATCTGTGGCTGCGCAAAGTTCAGCACTCAAGTTGAGAACGAAGTTCTTGGGTTGTGTCACTCACTTGCTGTATAAATGTGGTTTACTGCCATTGCATAACCACTACAAGTATTTTGGTCTTAATAAAACGTAAGGTGATTAAAAATGTACACAAAATCTACTGTACAACTCACCTTAACTCTCAAGTGGTGGCTTTCTATATATATTTTGGTCATGTGTCTATTCAGAATGACTTATGAGCAGCAACCATTTTATTATGGCTATGTCATTTACGTAGGTCTCCCTTGCCAAACAGGAGTTGATTTTCATCCCATACTTCAAAATGCTATAGAGCAAGAACAAAGAAAAATCCCAAAAATGAAAAAAGGCACAAAATAAGATCCGGGTTAATGTGGAAAACCATTCATGGTTATAGCTCAACAACAGTTAAATGTACCAATAGACCTCAGACAACAATGAACATACTGTACATTCTTCTTTAAGACTTCAAAAGCTTTGAATGACACTGGGAACTTGTGAGGTTATGAACATCCCTCCCTTTGATATCAGGTCAAGATTTTCCCCTCTGCTGTTCATGTAATCTCAGAAATATGGGAAGGCCAACAGGGCTGACATGAAAGATTTTCTTTTTCAAGTTTTGACTGCTTAAACATTTTTTTCTCTCCTTCAGAGACTTTAGTAGTCAAGTCAAACTAAAACTCTTGAGAGTTCCTTCTGAACTGCATGTATTTTCCACACCTGAAAAACTTCAGTTGATATGGTATTTTTGCCAGATGACAGAAGT